GAATTTGTTATTTCATTTCACAGCCTGTCACCCTACTCTCTCTCTCTAACACGCATGTAAACGAACTCGTCCACGTAGGCACAAATTTTCCCGCTCTTCGAAGTTCTTCCGTTTATATGCGTATCTACTGGACCACATCTGGAATCTTTCACGCCTTTTCGATTCCGAATATACGAAAATATACACGCAACTTCTTCTCTAATTCTCGAAAATCTCTTTGCCAAATTTGAAAATCGACATTGGAGGGAATTCTTGCACCGGTAGTTACGGTTTCCTTTTGATGATTAACAAAGCGTTTAAAGTTTCGAATATTATCACTGATTTTATGGTTTGATGAGTTGATAGATATAGATATGCATTTCAATGGTGACATAGCGAGCCTTGATGCCAAACTGTTGCAACTTCCGGAGCCGGAGGTGGCTCCTCTGACCAGCCAAGCCATTCGTGATTTCGCCGAGAAGCTTTTCGATCAGTGGCTTTCGCTTCCGGAAACAAGTAATCAAGTAAATTGTTGTTACCTCCATTTTTTATTTATTTTTCTCAAAATTTTAGTCTCTCATCTCAATGAGATGGACGCTACTAGTGTATATAAGTTGCGTACTTAATCAATCGGAGTTTCATTTTGCCTATAGAACGGATTGGATTGTCAATTAGGTTGATTTACAATGTGAGTTAATAACAAGTTTGAAAGATGAATAATATTTCGCGTGCAATGTTGTTTTGGCAGAGTGGCGAAAGCAGGGGAAATTACAAAAATAATGAGAAGCAGTCTTGGGGATTTCATAGTCTAAATAGTGATTTTTGTTTGTAGGGAATAAACTTGTTTAATTTCGGAAATGAAGGAACAATACGGAAATTATAGCTTGGTGTCCATTATATTCAAAATAGAGACAGTAGGGGAAAAAAAAAAAAAAAAAAACTCCACCTAGATTTAGCCCATGCAATTGTATGGTAAACTAAAAAAGTATTTTTTTCTTTTTTATCCTACATAGTTTGCGAGAAGGACCAGCTTGCCTATTATTCGTTGCAATCTATTTCCCATCACAACTATCTGTGAATTGCAGGTAAAATATTTGCTCTATAAAGCTAAGAGAGGTCGTTCTTTGAATGTCTCTGGAGCAGTAGACCTACCTGCTTTAGGCTCTCCCAAGAAATTAGTGAATGACCCTGGGAAAGAGGTTATACCGCAGGTCGGAGTAGTCAATATTTTGATATTGTAGTGGGAATTTTTCCAGGTTTTTCTCTCTTTGTGTGCTGCTTTTGCTGAAACTCCAATTTTAGATATTGATTTTGTGTTGACACTTGTGATGAAATGCAGTTCTATTTTCAAAATGGCCGTCCACCCTCCCAAGAATTGCTAAATGAGTGCTTGTCTAGAATCAAACAGTTTTTTTCTGCTGAAAGTAAAGGACTCCGAATCCAGGGTGAGACTTGCTAGTTGATACAACTTGTTTGTTCAGTTGCACCGTGCATAAACACTTTAAGGATCTCATTGCTATTTGTTTTGTTATCTATTCATACACCTGCAAAATCCAATATACAGATGTAAAAGAAAATGTGTACCGTTGTCTTTATGCTATTTACATTTTCATGGATGTCAGAATTTAAACTAGCTACGAAGGAAATTTGCAAGCTCCCATCATTCTTCTCCATTGCACTTTTTACAAAGATTGACGTCAACTGCACAGGCATTGTGACCAGGTAGGTATTTTGTCATTCATTATTTCCTATCCTTTGCTTTTGTCAAGATTCACCCCTTGCTGATTTTAATATTCCTTTCTCGTATGAACCCGAGTGAGAAAATATTGACTCACACGTCTCAATTTGAAAAACTCAGTTATGAGTACAATCACACTTACCGTACTTAGACTTCGTTTGACAAATTTATATATCTTTTATAAAGAGGAACAATAGTTGATCCCATAAAATGTGTAGATAATAAATGAGCAATAATTATGAATTTGTGTTTAAAATTAATGTTTGACTGAATTTATAAACCATTTATAAATTGGTTGCCAAATGGAAGCTTAACTTTTCAACTACTTTTGTTTTGAATGAGAGCCAATTGTATATGATTGCAAACTTCTAGGTTTCTATGTCCTCTCACGCATGCACACAGATGAGAAAATATTGACTCATTCTAGGCAGTTACGGGAATAAGTTAGTTTTATCAAGTGCATGTTCAATCACAATTGCCTCTCTAACCTCTCAAATACCTTGAATTAGGAAATAAGTTGCATCTGCAAAAGCAATTATTAGAATTTGATTGATTTAGAATTCCGCATGCATGGCTCCTATAATATGTGCAGTCAAGAAGTCCCCATAAGTAGTGAAAAATGGAGGGAGGCATTGCCAATATTATTGGACTTATATTTGCTATAAGTTGACCTTATTTTTGTTCGTCTGTTTTATTATGGTCAAAACATACTCTTGCATTTTATTGGTCAAATTCTATGGAACTGTATATGTCAAATTGTTTTCCCTACACTAAAGAAAAGAGAGGATAACTAATTAATTGTTCAATCTTGAAACTCCATTTCACACTTACCTTGTTTCAAACCAGTTTTGCAACGGTTCACCGCTTTTCACTTTTATTTTTTATTTTTACTCTTTCACCACAATGTTATGCCCTGATTGGTATTGATTTAAATTATATTTTAATCTAAGTTAAAGTCAAGCAATCAATATTAACTACACTTTTCATATCTCACAATTTTTCAATCACACACTTCAAATTTTTTGTTTTTTTTTTTTTTTTTATCAAAATCTACTAGCTTGTTTGGTAGAAATTTTGAAAATTGATTTTTTGACCGTTAGAGATAAAGTGAGTCATACCTGTGAAAGAATAATTTAAAAATGATGGCTGGAATATTAAAATAATGGTCAAAAAATTGATATTAATTGGTTTAAAATCTAAACGAAACAAGCACTAAGAATCTAATTTTAATTTCCACCAAACGTGTTTTATATATTATATGTGAAAAATATCGAAAACAAACGTAAAGGCATTCATTGTAGCAATAACACATTCTAAAATGAAAATATTGCCTACGAGAATCCGACACATTCGAAACACTAAGGGTCCATTTGATTGCAAAGATAGAATTGAATTGTCTAGAAAACGAATTCCAGGAAATTGATTTGTATAGATATTGTTTGCCTGAGAATTGTAAATTATTGTGTTTGATTAGTATAATTTTTCACGTGAAAAATGTTGAAATGAAAATATTTTTTGGCTTTATTTTACATGAAAATTGTCAATTAAAGGGATAGAATTTACTGATATTGGGGATGAAATTTGTTTCCATACCAAAACAATAAAATAAAATAATCAAGAAAATCATCTCTCTTTTGGTATTCGTTTGGTTTTATTTTACATGAAAATTGTTAATTAAAGGGAAATATATTTTTACAATAATTCTTAGAATTTGTTTCCATTGCCAAAAAAAAAAACGAAAAAAATGCTACAGTCATCGGGAATTCCAATTTTCACCATTTTGGTGAGAATTCCAATTCCTTGAATTGGTGGAATTTGGCTTATTGGCACTCAAGTTGGAAACTCAATTCTAGGCTAAAAAAATACTAACAAACAAGGTTAAATTGGAAGGTGGAATTCCACCGCCAATCAAATACAACCTAACATTACATTCAAAATACTCAAGTACGTGCATTGCACGAGCCAAGGCTAATAGTAAAAAAAATGTGCTCACTTATTTTGTATTGAAGAGGCTAATTTTGCACAGGATTTCATGTGTTAGTTCTGTTGAACTTGGTTAAGATACAATGATTTTGGTCAACTTTGACCAATTATTTAAGCGGGACTCATTAGTCGAACACGAGAATTGTAGGTCAAACATGTTCTATTAAACAAATAGATTATTGTAGTATGTAGTTATTTAAAACTGATTTTGGGTGAATGAAAAATTACAATCAAAAGTCAACCTGTTGAAATATTGAAATTGTTGGAAACTTGGAAAATTTTGAATGTACAGGGGAAAGCTTACATTGTCAAACCAGAGGAGAGGTGTCCACTTCTATTTGCAAAGGCAGAAACTGTGTCCCCCTGTGATTTGACTCTTTTTTTTTTCTCCTGTATGTGTGGTGCAGTCTAATTTAATAGGGTGTAATATTCTAGAAACTGTCTGATTGAAAAGTCACGA